CAACAGTGAGTACACGCTGGTTTACATCCACCAGCCAACAACACCCGTCCCACGTTGTCTCCGTCACTTCTCTTCGGTCCAGACTGGAGTCTCCACTATTGGACGGGTTGCCGGGACATTTCAGGACTAATTGTGTCCCTTTGGTGATCATGTGACCTTTCATGTGTCAACATCAAAGGGTCAAAATGTCAACTTGTCCTTTCGTTTACGACCAATTACCTCAAAACTAAGAACATTTGCACGTCATTTTTTTGCTCTTTGGAAACATGGAAATTGACGGACTTTCAAGCGAGAATAAAAAGATAAATAACAGTGATGATAATTAAATGAAATAACCGAAGGGGAATCCCTCAATCATTATTGATCAGTGAGGTCTGCAGCATTTTGCTCTTTAACTATAAATGAAACTACATCTATTCTTACATAAACTTTCCACAAAGATTCAAAAGATTCAAAGATTTTTATTGTCATTTACACACTGTTTATTGAAATACTCGCGCTTGCCTTTCCGGAACAATTTCAATACAAAGGCCCTTTAATCATCTCTGTTCATTATTTTTTTTAACATCAGTTGGACAACAATTTACTTTTATTTTCATTGCAAATTAAGTATTTCCTCGATTCTGTGTCAAGAGCATTTATGGGGCATTTTTGCTTGTAAAATATATTATGTACAACTGACTGAAGGTTTCAACCTAACATGGAAACAGCAACGATCCTCTGTGGTTCCTCAATGTTACAAAATAAATATACTGTAAGTTTCTGTTTTGAAATAAATCGTATGACATTTTGTGTTCAATGATAAAGTAGGAAATATAAGAAATATAATAAATTAACCTAATTAAACAAAAACAACCTCATGCTGATGAGTCGACCTAGAAACTGAAACGTGTTTGATGTCGTTCTCGTCTCCGTCTCTACTGAGACCTCACAAGAGATGCATCAGAAATAAGGGAATAGAGTCATGCAATGTGTGTAGTCATGGTCTGTGGCCACTGGAAACCTCTGTGTCCTTACGTGTGTGTGTGTGTGTGTGTGTGTGTGTGTGTGCAGTGTACCACATGCAGCAGGACGGCTGGATAAAGGTGTGTAAGGACGACGTATCCGAGTTGATCCACCGCTACAGGAAGGGAATGTTCTGAATGCTCAGCACTCTGAACACGACTGATGATGCGTTTCTTCCCAAAAGATTCTTTGTCCACTTTTCTAATAGTGATTTTGGAAATGATCCCACTGACGTCTCACAGCAGAGAAATGCTGTAGAAACGTTTCTTTCCTTACACATGAACCTGAACTCTACAGAACCAAACTGTCTCTAAGCTGCTGAGCTCATTGTTTGCTGTTTGTTCTTAGTGATGTAATGCAGGTTCTGTGTGTGTTGATCCTCACGTGCTTCTGTGTAGTAGTTTGTTCTTTGTTAACCAGACATGCTGTTAAAATACTTTCACCAAAACAACACACAGTCCCAAATAAAGCCTGTTGCTCAGCTCCCTGCTGTCCTGTAATGATTGACATGAACTCACCATGAGGACAAATGAGTCAGGTGGTCACATGTCGATGACAATGAAGATATTTAGATTAAAGGATTTTTATTCTTTCTTTTTCAGTTTTTCAGTCCTTTTACTGTCAACCACGTTATTTCTTTCAAATAAATCGTGTTGTCCAAGTAACATAAATCTTTTTTCAAATAAATATTAAAGGTATAAAAAATCATTTTAGATGCTTGGTGAGGTGGTGACATCATTTTTGTTTTATTATAGTGTGAAATGTGACTAAAACATACAGAAGTGTCAAATCTTTCCAGAACTAAACCTGTTGGGTGAAATGTTCAAAGCTCTCGTGTTCCTGATAACTGGTGACAGTCTGACTATTAAATACATATTATTATTAAATGAACTGCGTCACATCACTTAAGGCAACTTGTACGTGTATATATTTAGGTTGATTACATATTTATAGTTTAATATATAACAGAACAATGACGTCATTGTGAGAACGGCTGTGATGTCATCTGTTTCCATGCAGAACAACAACACATAGCTTTTGATAAATGAAGTATATCGGTCTGTATGAAAAAAGGTTAACCGCCTTAATCTTCACAGGTCTGTGAGGATGTTTGTTTTCTTTCACTTAAGTTCAACTTCAAAGGTCACAGAATTCCAGCAGTAATGAAATAAAGAATATTGTTTACATATAAAATACAGTAGAAAGGCCCTTCAAAGATGTGTTGTTAAAATATATTAATGTATAAATGCATTATAGTATTTTATAGTGTAGGTACAACATTCTATAGATACATACATCAATAAGAAGGACAGAGTGTATTTAAAGGAGCAACAGAACTGAAGAATCTCCTGATGTTATAAAGTCATCAGTTGCCGGGCAGATTCCAGTGAAACAGGTTTGTAAAGAAGAAAACTGAGGACAAAAAGCAAGAACACACACGTTGAACAAACGCAAACAACATGAATCACTTGTGGGATTTCTTCTTATGGACATGTATATAATATATATATATATATATATATATATATATATATACACACACACATATATATGTTATATAATGTTTGGTCTTAGTCACAGTAGCTGAAGCATTGTTGCTTTAGAACGCCACAGAGTGTGTGACCTCCCAGCAGAGAAGCCTGGATGAGTAACTAGTGTGTGTTATCTCAACCAGACGGAGACGCAGACCTTGGAGAAGCCTTGACGCATGTCTCATGTGTACATGTCATGAATTGGGAGACTAAGACGCAGACCTTCCACCTTCAAGCATAACCTGTGTGTGTTGTCTCAAGTATATAAATCAGAGGGCTGAGACGCAGACCTCCGAGCAGCAACTCAACACACGACTTGTTTCAACTCTGCTCCTACTTGCTAGTGTTCTTTAATAAATGTCCTGTTACATTATTTATCATTTAGCTGACACTTACATTTTTAACCCATGTCTTTTTTTACATCCCGGTGAGTAATTACGGGTTATGTGTCTTGTACTTCGACATGGAGCAGCCGGGGCTCGTTCCGGTGCTCCCGCTCTACACATGCGCCACCGTCGACCCTCAATGCTGTTCAATCATTTCACACACGTGTTGATTAGGACGGTCTTAATGAGTCTCATGGTTTCTTGTCTTATGGAAAGTAAAACCCTCTTCAGATATCTGTGAAGAATCACTGCTTTGCCCCTAAAATGTTCACTCTTCTTGCTCTTTTGTTGGACGTCTGCAGGTCAAAGACTCGTCCATTTATCCTCAGAGACAACAGAGAACACTGAATATTCAGATCATTGTAGATACTACGACCACAACATGTGCTGATAAGACGCAGGATTTACAAATGTTATTTTGTTACGATAAAATGATCTCAGGCGATGTGAGTCTTCCATTTGCAGCAACTCCCAGCATGCTTTAAACCAGTGAAGTGAAGAACACGACGTTTAGAGTCCAAAGGGAAACAACATGCATGTGATTGTGGCTGCAGTCACAGAGGGGAAGCACATGGAATCACAACAACACACAAACATCTGGAGCATTTATTGAACAGCAGGACAAAGGTACAAAAAGGGGAAATGGAGCAACTTCATTCCACCTTCATCTACAAAACAAGTGATTCAGAGCATCACTGTTCAACTCCCACGAAACCAAGAAGGAAAACATCCCAAATTTAAATAATATGATACTTTAAAAGTGATCAAAAGACGTTATGAACCAATAAACATACTGATTTATTCATAAAACCCTCAAATTATTATTTTCTTCAACCTGTTAAATTCAGATACACAATCAGAAAGTAAATGTTGTTTTAATGTCAATATTTTGTGTGTGTGTGTGTGTGTGTGTGTGTGTGTGTGTGTGTGTGTGTGTGTGTGTGTTTACACGTTTGTTACCAACAATGACTCAACCCAAACAGTATCAAGTATCAAAGCGTAAATATGGTGGATTTGTTTGAGATGAACACACTAGTCTGTGAGCACTTTGATGCTTTCATTGATTTGAACGTCTCCCAAAATAATCATCCACGTTTTATTTCATTTCAACCTTTTTATTAAAACCAAACTACCCAAATAATTAAAAGTGACTATTGATGTTTCCTCACAGTTTCCAGATGTTCATCAACCCTGATTCAGACGTTTAAATGAAAGATGAGCCATAAATTGACAGTTTATGGAGAAGAATGTGGAGCATCGCTTGTTGATCCAGAGCAATATTCACCCATGAACCTAAAGAGAGAAACAAATACATAAAAGAGAAAACTAAATCATTTAGCACAAACTACTTTGACTCCACTTTGATAGACATGTGTTAGTGAGTTCCTAGAAGTTAATGTAAGAGCTTTGAATATCAGACTTTATCTGAGGAGCTGATGTGAAGCTTTCTGTGTCTTTCTCTTAATAATCTCACGTCTCACGAACCAAACTGCACCTTTGTTGTAGAAAAAGTCAAAGACTTCTTTACATGAGAAGCTCCTTGTGCTCATACTGAGGGCAGCTTTGTGGAACAGCAGCTGTGAATAGTTCATGTCCACGTGGAGCTACTCACTGTGTGCAGGACGCCGACTTCAAGGTTTAGGGTTCAGTTCCTCAGAGAGCTCAGAGCCGTCAGTAGAAGCAGAAGAAGAAGAAGAAGCAGAAGAAGGCCGTTTGCTAAATTATATTTTCTGAAATAAAAAGCAAAGAGAATGTCAGTGTTTAGTGTTCTATCAGCTTCCTCCCAGCAGATACAATCTCAGTTTTTTAACCTATTTCTTCCTCTAAAAGCTAAAATGACTTTCAACAACAGCCTGAAGAAACAACTAACTACGTTTAAGTGTCTCAAGTGCAAAACAATCACAGAATTGTCTAAAAGTAAAATGGCACTAAACAATAAATGCAGAATAAAAGCAAATATGGTTTTATAAGTGTGACTGGTGAAAGTTGCTTCAGTGTCTCATTCTGGATAAAAGCATCAACTCAAAGCCTAAAATCAAATGCTCCTCAACACTGTGTCTCTGATCGTCTCTCTCACCGTTCCTGTTTCTGTGAACCTTGAATCCAACCACAGCAGCGATGATGACGACAAGAACAGCCACAGCGATGATGATGATGAAGGTGGAGGCAGCAGGCTTCTCTGTGGAGCACAAAACAATCAAAGAGTCTCAAGCTGAACAGATGAAGCAGGTCAGAAGAGAAGAAGATCCACTTATCCAGCAGACCTGAACACACACACCATGTGACGTCATTTCTTTATGCCGTCTGCACATGATGACTGAGACACATATTCAACCTCCTTCCTGAACTTTGCTCTGTCTGATTCACTGATGGATACATGTATTAATACACGTGTTTAATCATTCTGTCTACTCATCTTTAAGTGACCAGTAGTTGTGTGAATGCAGATTCTACAACGTCTGAATTGTGGTGACACGTTACAATAGTTCAGCATGGACTCAAATAAAGCTCTTACCTGGAATGAGTTTACAAAAGGATGAATACACTTATTTACAGAGAAATGAACCAAATATTGACACGTTTATATATTAATCTAGACCAGTAAACAGTGTTCATAACTCTCGCTGTGTTTAATTCTGATCCGAGTCTTAAAATGACTACAAATAAAAACTAGACTAGAAATGTAAGAAAACAAAACTTCCCAAATCTAAAACACACAAAGTGGACAAAGTGGATGTTTGCTTCCCTCCTTCACCGCTCCGGGTCTCAGACCTACCCCTGTTGGTCCTGGTCTTGTCCAGTTTGGTGACGATGTCCTCGTCCACACCAGACAGCTGGAACACACAGTCGTACCTCCTCCAGTCTTCAGCAGGGACGGAGGACAGTTTCAGGTCAACCCTCATCTGGAAGGTCCCGTCGTGGTTGGGGAGGATCTCTCCGAGGTCCACGTCCTCATGGAGCTCCTCTCCATCTTTCCTCCAGAAGAGGTCGGCTCTGTCGGGGTAGAAACCTGTAGCGTGGCAGCTGACTGGAGAGGAGGGAGTCTTCTGGAGGAGAGACACCGAGGGACGCTCTGGAGACAGAAGAGAGGGACAGGTTACATCTTTATTATTATCAATGATATTTAGTGTATTAATATCATTCATCTTTGATGTATTTAAAATGCCTCTTTAACACTCAACTATGTGTATTTAAGTTTACTAAAAGAATGAAATGTCTTTAAAGTTTCATTGATTAAAGAAGGGAGACAAACAGATGAAGAGGGGTGAGACGGATTGGAAGGGGAGGAGGACAGTGTGTGAGAGAGAGTAGAGAGACAGTGAGACGGACAGAAACACAGCAGAGACAAAGAGGATGGAGGGACAGAGTGGGGACAGGTGTGAGGGGGGAAGTGAGGGAGGGAGTGCAGTGAAGGAGAGAAGGAGGTGAGGGGGGAGAAATGTGGGAGACACAGTGGGTCTCTGTGTGTCTCTGACATGTTGCTATGAAACAACAGAAGGTTTATGAGCATCGTGTCCATGGAAGGACATCAGGTCATGTGATCCTACCGGTTCTCATCAGAGAGCTCCTCCCGTAGCTCAAGTGCTTCTTCACCCACTCAGGACACACATGAGTCAGGTAGTTCTTCTTCCCTGCTATCCAGGCTCTGTTCTGATCCCACTTCTGTTTGGTGATGACAGCCTGCTGTTTTGGAGCGATATATTGCTCTGTCTGCAGGTCAAATGATATGAAGTCTTCTCCATCATAACCATCCTGAGCATAACCTTTGACCTCATTGGTCTCATCATCCCATTCACAGCCGTACATGAACTGGACAATGTGGACACCTGAGAGAGAGAGAGAGAGAGAGAGAGAGAGAGAGAGAGAAACATATTTGCTTGATAAAAGACTTCAGTCATCATCTGATTATCAACATTCATGTTGATTCATTTTCTGTTCATCGACTAATTGATTCAATGTTTCAACACTAAATATCCTGAATGTTTGTTCTAAACTCACTGCAGTCCACTTTAGTTCATTAACTCTCATCTGTATCATACTCCAGATTTTGGGCTCAAACTAATTATTCTTGTCTTTGCAGATGATGTAATAACTATTTCTAATGAATCCATGAATTGTTCACACTGTAAAATGTCAGAGAGGCTGATGAAACCTTGGAAGTGCTTCTTCAGTGTGAACAACACTGAGCAGTATTTCATTCATCACCATTTCAAACAGACAAGAGGAAGAAGTCGTCTCAGTGAGGAACCTCAACTAGAACATGTTGGACGTCATCTGATAAAACCTGGAATGAAATACTGAAGCATCGACTCCCTGAGCTCAAGTAAAGCTCATCTAATCTAAGCTGGAGTTCTAATCAGGATGAGAGGAAATCTTCATCCTGAACAACACGGAAAAGTATTCATTGTGTTTATATCCTTATATTTAGGAACTGGAAGCAGAAAATGTTTCAGTCAAGAAAAGATCTCAGACTGTTTAATTTACTGTGTGTGTGTGTGTGTGTGTGTGTGTGTGTGTGTGTGTGTGTGTGTGTGTGTGTGTGTGTGTGTGTTTATGTACTAATAACATAAAGGATGCAAATATAAACAAAAAGTGTGAAACATAAACAAACCTCCAGTTTGGTTGAAGCGTCGTTTCACTGTTTCAATGTCGACTTTGTAGACCTGCTGGGTGCCCATAAATGTCTCAGTCTCACTCTTCCAGTACTGAGGATCGTCCTCTGTGACTCTGCTCATCCAGTCCTGTCTGGGTTCTGCTCTCCTGGTGTTACTGTCATAGTGAAACATCTCAACTTCATCCAGCAGCCCAACAATCACAAACTCTGGGAAGTTTGGGACTCCAGAGGACGCAGTGAGGAAATACTTCATTGAGTGAGTCACTGGAACCAAAAAGGAATCATTATCAGTTCTGATGTCACACTTTAATTAATCAATAATTATGTTGTTTTCCTGCACACAGAATTAAAAAGAAACACAGAACATCAAAGACACCCTGATAACATCTGCTGTGTTTAACAACTCAATAAATACAGAAATAAATGTTTACTTTGATATTTATGATGATACAGCTTTTAAAAACATTATATTCTAAAATGAAATATTAAACAATTCACATGTTCAGATCATCATTTTGTGTTTCTGACTTTCACGCATAGAAATCAGTTTGTAAAACCAGATTTCTTATTATTGTATAATGTTCCTTATATTGACATTTGATTTGATCGTATCAAATCAAACTGTTTTATGTCATAAATTGTGACCTCAGACGTTTCGTCTTGTGAGGTTTTAAACAATAACTTTGAAATCTGAGTTTCTTGAAAAGAAGTGGAGACACAAACAAGTTCGAAGGTCATTTATTTGATCATTTAATTCTGTTAACATTTTTTATATTCAAATCAAAACGTATTCATTTTGTTGTTGAGATTGTTAAGATTTAAATTGTTTGAGTAGAAGGATTCTCCTTTTTTCATTCAACCATTTAGAAACAAGAAACTAATCTGACCAGTTTCTTGTTTATCTCTATATTTAAGTTGAACTATAAAATATAATTGTGAAAAACTAAAGTATGAACAGATGGACACAGCATTATATTTAAGAAACTATATTAAATCTGTATCTATTTTAGTTTCTATCGGTATCAGCTGGATGGAAAGAATCCAAGAAGATTAGAATATTATTTAAAATTATCAGCACAGTAAAAATGTTTCACAATCTTCATGTCCTCTGTGACTGAATTCATATTCATGAGTTTTTATTTCAGCACTGGTCACTGAAATGTTTTGTAAATCTGTCCGAGAATAAATATATTTCCTGTTAATACATCAAATACTGCAGAGAGATGCTGGATGTTTGAGGCTGATTCTGATTAATATAGTCTGAATATTAAATATTTCAGCTGATACTATTTTTAATATAAACACATGACCTAAACTCACTGTAATTCAGATTGATAAATTGTTGTTTTTAGTAAACGAGATACAAACTAAGAGTTTAAAATCAACTTTTGCTCTTCCGGTTTATTAATGAGCTCAGACTGAGTTTGACATTTCTTCACTTGTCTTTCTTCTCACTCATCAGACAACATGTAAACACCAATATATCTGCAATAAGATAATATCTACAAGTAATATTGATGACTGATTCATCAGCATCAGTGTGACGTCATCAGTGATCTGCCGCGCTACGTCATGCTGCCATGTCCGCTTCAAGAGCGATCCGTCCGTTTAATGTCCCGAAGACAGAGACAGCAGAGTGAGACAAACACGCTTCTGTCCTTCACACAAACTCACGAGAGGAAACACGCGCGCACTTTGACAACATGTGTTACTTTTTACAACTTTGTCTGTCGTCATCGAGAGAGTCCTGAGCTAAACATCAGAGACATCAGAGACACTTCAGCTGATGTCTGCAGCCTATGAAGACACGAAGCGTCTCTTCTTCTACAATCAAACACCTCATTAAACAAAGCGTCAACTCACGTGCTGCAGCGCCGTGAAGGCTCATCATCAGGAGAGACAGAACCGAGATCTCCGCCCCGACAAGTCGCATTTTAACGTCCGCTTGTTTCACCGGGAAGGAGAAAAGGTTTCACGGTCCGATCTGTTCAAGGATCAAACGCCGACTGAGGGAGAAGAGCTCGATTCTGACCAATCACAATCCAGCATTTGCTCTACGTCATCAGTAACTAGGTGGAATCAAAGAAAACAGGTTGTTGTAGGAAGAGAACACTTAATTCAGACTGAACACACAACAAGAGAGATGCGGCACACAATCCTTATTCACATATTATTTACATACATATAAAACCACAATCATATGACTTCTTCTAAAACATGTTAGTTTTCTATAAATTATATTATAAATTATGACACAAGTGTGTTTCAGTGTCTTCTCTTGTCGTCTTTCAGCTTCCTCCTTTTCATGATTTAATTCATTTACACCAAACTAGAGTCGATGGCAGAATAAGCGGTTCAGTATTACCAAAGAAGATTTGGAAAATTCTTCCTGGGTGGAACCAACAAACTGAGCTCGGCTGCTCCTCACAAGTACATGTTCTAAATATTCAGAGATACTTTGTAAAGCTCCTGAAACACCGTGTAGTCCACCAGGGACGTCCCAGCTCTCTGTTTACAACTATTTAGACCTTTTTAAACTGTAATGTGGCATAAAAATACAACCCTACACATGTGTAAAGTGTAACATTATTATAAAACCTGAGACTAATGCTGCTGTTATTTACATCAGACCGCTCAAATAAAACCTATAACATGCTAGTTTGAGTTGCCACTGAGCCACACGCCTCCCTCTGAGAACATCTGCATGCTGCATCTTGTGTGCTCACTTGTTTGGACGTGTCAGACACACAAACACGTCTCGCCGTAAAACACACACCCAGTTTATCTATATGTATGTAATGTATATTTTATCACATGGAAGTGAAAAATATATATGTTTTTCTATTTTGGGCTATTAATTGTATTATAAAACTAAATTCTCCCGATAACATTTATTCTCTGGAACAGACAGAAGCAGAGAATCAAATCTTCCCAGAATGCAACCTGATTTATCCTCCCACTTTCTGTCTCTGGCAGTTCATGAGGCCTTTATGGCTGCACCTCCTTCAGGAGTCGGGACCAGTCCCAGAGCGCCTCTGCTGGACACGAACAGCTCTTCCCTCTGTGCCGCTTCTGGGAATCACCTGATGAGGCCGCTGGGTTTCGTCTTGGTGTCTAGTGTGTGACACACAGTTCTGCCACGATGTGCATATTATGACAACTAGATCTCTGCCTGAAGCTTCTTGCCCGCCTCGCTTTGCCACATTCCTCTGGAGACAAAGAAGATACTTTCTGTGGATAAATAATCAAACATGAGCAGTAATAAGGTGTCCAGCTGCCTCTAAACCTACAATACATTTACTTCCTCCAGACTGCAGACTCAGATCTCGCTGTGTGTCTATTTCTATTGTACACAATACACTAATTGATTCTAACTTTCCTATAACAATAATAATAATAATCACGTGATATTATGTCCATAAATGAAACCAATAAGGTCACATAAGGACACATAATGCTGGTGACCTGGTTCATTATTTTGTGGTAAAGGGCGCCATCTAGCGGCAGAGCTCAATACATTCTTATTGTCCACCAACTGTTTCTTTCTTTTATAAAAACTGCTGATCGTTGCTCTGTCGTTGAGTTTAGTCGATTTTATTTTCAGTCCGAACTTTACCTTTAATATCGCTGGGCGTTGATTGTGGTGTTTTTATTTTGAAATCATGACCGGAAACGTATATTATTTATTTCTAGCTTGCAGGTGAAAGTGAAACTAAAATATCACACTTCGTTTGTGTAGCAGCGTTGTCAGACGGCAAAAAGAAGACACAAGCATGATGAACATCTCTACAATCTGCACGCTGTGCCTGGTAGCAGCGGTCTGCTGCGGTGAAGGTGACGTCACGTTAACAGGCTCTCTGGAGTCTTTTAGTCAAACGTCTCTCTGCTGTTCTCACTCCAAACACCTTCATTACAAGTGTAACTTTAACTATGCATCTAAAACAGAGTTATATGTCATTATCCATCGGGTTCTTCATGTGCCGAACTAAGCACGACATACATTCACATGATATAATGAGTTAAGCCATTTCCTGTTCATTGCATGTTGTTAACTTTAACATAAGTCTTGTTAAATGAAGGTTCATACAAGGGAATCTGGTGTGACGCGTTCAGGGCATCAGCGCCCCCTCGTGGCTGGAAATGTTACCGCGCAGCATCGAGAGGGGAGAGAGATAATCAATACACCGAGATGACTTTAAAGAGTACACAGCTACACAGTTCCAGTGATAATAATAATAATAATAAAATACTTCAGTGTAATGTGATGATATTGCTGTTCCTGATACCGATCCTTTCTTGGTCCACAGCCTGCAGCAGCTGTCCCGTGTTGGAGTGCTGGTTTGTGCAGGAGAAGACGGGTCGAGGAGGAGGTCTCGCTGCAGCTACGACCCTGGAGAAATCCCTTCTGCACATCCAAACCGACCCCCACCCTGCAGAGAGCCAGCAGGCTCCATCCGACATCCACCCCGACAGAGTTTACCTCATCACCGGTCAGTTCGGGTGACACGCAGAGCAGCATGTGTGTACATGTGGGAGAGAGAGTGTGTGTCTGTGTGTAGTTATCTGTTAACCTTCAAAGTCAATCGGAGAGCGTTAAATAGTTATGCTACACAAACGCACCGATCATGTGTATTTGTGGATAGAAGATACCTTTCTTGTTTAATATCCCATCAATATTTGGATATATGAGTCCGATGTTGCTTAATTACACCATTCTTTTCCTCCAGGCTTGAACTTGAATTTCTCAGCCAGGAATTTGGTAAATGATTAGGAAGGAATCAGAATCAGAAGGAAAAAACTATCAGTACACATTTTTTAAGCAGGCATAGTATTAATCTCCCTCTTTAGATTCTCTGTTTTTATAAAGTAGCAATAGTTTGAGTATCTGTAAACCTGCTGTTAACCACAACAACCTCCTCAGACCCAGCCGGCACTCTCTGCCACCGCTCTCTCAACCCTCCCAGAGGCTCGGTGGAGAAGCCTCAGTGTGAGATCAACCCCTTCCTGCCGCAGCCCTCCACCCTCAAGTGGGCATCTCCACTCACAGACTCCGCCTCCAGCCCCATCTACCTGCAGGCCGATTGGTTCTCCACTGCCCTCCAGGGCCTCAACGGACAGCTGGCCGTCTCCACCATCACTCGTGCTCCCACGGCAACCAAAGAGCACCGAGGTAATGACTCATGACCCAGGAGACCAGTCCAAAAGACCATTTCTGTTCCACACACTCAAAATGTAATCGACTCTTTGTCTCCTCAGTGGTCCTGAGTGTGACCACTACAACCGTCTCCGTGCAGTCCAGACTCGGGGGGCCAGTGCTGCTGGATTGCGGCCTCTGGGCCGACCCCTCGTCGCCTCTCTCCGGGTCGGGTTTCGCCGTAGAGTGGCGCTACCAGTTCAGAGGGGACGGCCGCTTGGTTCTGGCCTACGACGGCAAAACGGACCGCCTGGCCGACGTCCAAGAGGAGGGGGCCACGCTGGACTATGAGGGCCTGCACCAGAGAGGGAATGCGTCGCTGATCCTGCGGGAGGCTAAAGTGCGTCACTCGGGGCTGTATATCTGCACGGTGTATCTGCCCTACCTCGTGGCTCAGGTGACGATGGAGCTCCAGGTTGTCGGTGAGGGAAACTACTGTTGGATAAAGACATTTTTCATTTGGAAATGAAGAGTTCAGAAGCTGCTGAAGAACCGAGATTCCATCGGACCACATTGTGATCAACGTTCTCTTACGGTCTCTTTTTGTCTCTGCTCCTCTGCTCTTTTCCCTCTTTTACCCAGAACCTCCGTCCCTCTCCATCCACCCGTCCCCTCTGCCCCTCGCAGTCCCCGGCCAGTCTTTCACGGTCCAGTGTGAGGCGTCCGGCTTCGCCCCCCTCGCCCTGGAGCTGAGCTGGGAGTTCAAAGGCACCGATGGGAAGTCCAGGCCTCTGGGGTCGGGCAGCCTAACGGGACACCGGCAGGCCTGGGACGGAACCTACAGCCAGAGCACCCGGCTGGAGCTCGACTCCGCCGAGCTGGACCTGGGCCGAGGGGGGGAGGTCACCTGTGTGGCCGTCCATCTCGGGGGCACACGGCGGGCCAGCGTGACCCTCAACGTCATTGGTAATGCTGAAGAATGTACTGAGTCATTCGTTAAGCTTGTTTAGTGGACTTTGTTTAATAAAAAGAGGCCAGGTGGGGATTTTTCTGTTGGTTGAATTAGAAAAGGAACGTAAGTGAACGTAAAACTTGCAGAAACATTTCAACACATCTGCTACATGCGATGGAATATAAAATAAATGACTTAAATCAAGCTCAACCACTAAGATGGACGTCAACGTGCAGGACGTATTTAAGGCTTGAACTCGTCTCTCGTCCTGTCAGGGTTCAGCTCCCCGTCCATCGAGGACTCCATGGCAATGGTCGGTGTAGCGCTGGTGCTCTACGGTCTCATCAAGTTTGTCTCTTGGACCGTCACCAGCTCAGGTAACAAAGGACGCCGACAGAATGCCACGTAATGAGCTAATAATTGATTGACCCATTTATTTATTTGAAACTACCAGACAGGTTGATTCTGTCTCAGCATTTTCATTTAATAAGATTGATGAAGATGTTTTTAATCCATTTGTGTCTTTTCACTGCACACAGGCTCAGATGAGGCTGGTCAACGAGAAAAGGTAATGATACTTTTTAAACTATTAACTAATCATAAATGTATCATTCTGGATGCTTCCACACAGACCACTGGTCCACTCATACGCTTTTATAACCCTGGAACCTCGTAGTTGTTTTGTACGTCTCAGTTCAATAACGACTTCTACTGCTTCCACTTACAGAAGGACAAGTAAAGAAGACTGAAGTCCACTGCTGGGACGTGTGAAACAGAACCAACCGAGCCGCCTGTTTTTGGTTCTACTAAGGCATCAGTGAGGAAGGCTTCGGCTCAGTCTGAGAATGTTTTTTGTTTCTTATTATTGTTGTTTCTTGTTATGTCTTTCACTTTAAAGCGATACAGCTCTTTTATCATATCGGCCTCCCACTGTTACTGCCTAATGAAATATGTTAATGCTTCTATATGATTCTCCTTTATATTTAAGAGAGAAAACTAACATGAAATATTTTGTAAATAATATGAGACCAAAAAATTCATATTAGACCAAACTGTCAAAACCCACAAAGAGAATCCTCTTTTTGTAAATATTGAAAAGGGAATATATGTATATTGTGGCATTGTTGTTTGTGGTTTGTGTATTGATCTCATTATGTATCTGAAAGAATGATGCTTCTGGGGTATTATACTATCAAACTTATAAAGTTTTGAGCAAATGATATAAACAGAGCAAATATTTCTACCACACAGAAACTCTAAACTTGTGTTTTCAAATTGCGCAGTGAAGCCCGTCTCTCGCCCCAAGTTGCCTGGAATAGACTCCAGCCCTGTGACCCTGTGTGCAGGATAAGCGACAATGAATGGATGGAGATATATATCTATATATATATATTAGGGATGGGAAGATTCACCGGTTTGCATCGATGCATCGGCGTAAAAGCTCACGATGCGATGACCCGGATCAGAAAAGTGTGCACCGGATACCTTGTGGGATGAATCGCGGTGCATCGTTTCTAACATTTTTGCATCGGTATAATCCGATGTATGTATACGGATTCGTGTGTAGGCGAACACCACTCCTCTCTAACTGTTTCTAAGCGCGCTCATCTCCACTGCTGCCAGTGGCCGAATCTCGTGAGGTCTCGCGCGAGTTGGAGGAGAGCGCGTGGGAGAGCGTTACCATGGCGGATGGAGAGTTAGACGTCCCGAAAACTTGCAATAAATCCAAGGTTTGGCAACACTTTGGATTTCCAAAGAAAGATGGTAAATTGGATAAATCCCATGCCATCTGTAAAATATGTCGAGCTGCCATAAAGTACCGGCAGCACAACTAATTTAGGGACGCACCTGAAGAGGCGACACGGTGAGACGTCTGCCTCCTCCTCGGATTCAGGGACGCTACAGTGGCTCTACCAGTACAGTTTGTGGATCAACTCATCTTCCTTAAGAAAAACCTCAAAATCGGACAAATGAGTGTGATTTAGTAAATTTAGTGTGTGAGGCAGTTGATCCATATGTTTAAAATGAAGCAAATTCTGTTGTGACTGCCAGGAATAATGAAAAAAAATGTTACATTAAGAGAACACTTACACACACACACATATACACATACATGTTATCTTGTCAGAGACCTCGTTTATTATGTGCTGTCTGACAAATAAAAAAATCATTATGTACCATATTAAATTGCATAGAATTATATTATTTTGCATCGCATCTCGTTGAATCGTATCGTATCGCATTAGTAGCTTTTCTGTATCTTTAATGTATCGGATCGTTGGCAGTGCATCGAGATGTGTATCGCATCGTCCTCAGCGATGGAGATGCACATCCCTAATATACACACACACACACACACTTTTTTATGTTGCCTAAATGTAGTGAATATAACCTTTTATCATACAGGGTTCTTAATTGTATTTGTTTAATTAAACTTTTTTTCATAAAGCCCCAACTAAATCTAATATATTGTAATAGAAGTATTTGAATGTGATTTATATGTGATAGCCTACACAATTGATATTCATTTTGTAAAATTAGCCATTAAATTATACCATACTAATTACTATTTCAAAATTGCAAAGGGTTGATCAAAGTTTCTCACACACACGCAAAAAAACTGTTACTCTTTGCATTTGTATTCATCGCCACAGATATTAGCAAAATAACAAGAGACCCAGTAGTGCTTCCTCTTTATTACAACAATGCTAGAATACAACACAGATTCCTCGTCTGCAGGCGTAATACACCATCTACATTATTTGTCCAAGCTGATAAAATAAATACTTGACCAGTTGCGGTTAATAGTTTTTCATTAATTCTAAATGGAGTGTAATATCATAGTCACTTTTAAAACATTCTCACACTATGGAACCATTGATGCTGTTAAGTTGTCTGTTTCTGAACCTTGATCAGAAGAACACTCAACATGCAGCACCATGTACAGGATAACTGCAGCGTGCAACATGGCAATGGGGCCTTGAAGCCAAGAGGAGTACGGTCAGTTTGGTTAAAACAGGAGCTTTATTGTGTGTTATAAGAACGTGGAATCCATAATATCCCAATGCAAGATAACTTGTTACAAATTGATGGGTTGTCTGACAATATGTTATTCTTGTTAATTGGTGTCTAAATCATTACTACCAGTAGACTTGTAATGTTGCTCAGTGTCTCCCTCCAACGCTTCCTCAAGGACACTTGAGGACTGCAGAAAATTAGTATCAAATTACCAACCCTCTAAGGAGGACACTATTGTGCCAAAGTCTGTAGTTGACCTATGAAAGAAATCATAAACTACCCATCTCCGTATTATGAATAATCTCATAGTCTCTGAAATGCAATCGTATTTGTATAATTTATGTGTCGATATCAGGCAGAATCTCTGCTTCTGGAGAACACATCAAACAAAAGGTAGACACAGCGTTCATTTTAATCGTGGGTCAGCATGCATATGTGACACATCCCTAAATTGACTGTGACAATGCTGGCTAACTGCGTTTTGCACCTCAAGTTGAAATCACTGTGATCACAGAATGTGGTAGCAGTTCATTCCAAGACCTCATTTTCTCCTCAGTGCTGAAGACAGAAAGAAAAGTAGTGGTAAGAAATGTTGAAATCATTGCAGTACAAAACCAAGACGCAATTTACTGAGATGATTTACAGCACATTTATTTCTGGATTAAGAAACAAAGATTATTTTCTTTCACCCACTAGTAATATTATATATTTTAGTCAAGAGTACTAGACTTAAAGCAAAACGTTTTTTACGGACTTATCTGTTCAAACGCAACACTTGATGGCAGAAATCATTCAGCGCATTCACAAAACATCAGAACTTGATTCATGCATTGCATTCACTCTTCACCTGTTCCTGCTTCCTCTAATTCGACGCTTTATTTCTAGTCTGCCTCTTGTTCTCCAGCAGAGCATCACCTGTGCACCCGACGTACCTGAGCTTGCTGTCCCGTATCGCCTGCCTGGTCGTGTCCTGACGGTTCGTGCTGAACTATTATTGTCCCGTTGCTAAACTCTGCTTTACCCCCCTCCGCCCCCCCCCCAGTGCCTATGTGTCCTATGTGAGGGTTCCTCAGATGGCTCTGGCATCACTCTGTGGCCTGAGGCAGCGCCCCTTCCAACGGTGCGAACAAGCTCACGCATCAACCAGCCTATTTAGCCTACACAGTTGACCCCCGTCCCTCCAGCAGGAGAGGCGAGGTCAGGGCTACCGTGGCACGTACGGGCCCTCAGAACTTGTTTAGAAGTTCCCGCTTGATAACAGCGGTTTGGAACCGGTACTGAGGGCTGTGCTCTCTCAAAGCAGCGCCCATCCTACTGGGTTTCAGAGGCCATGGCCTAGACATACAAGGCGAGCAACCAAGCTCAGCCATTGAGAATGCAGCGACACTCTACCAGGAGTGTCTCCACATCATGGACGGTCCTGAGAGGAACGCCTATGACGGATATACATGTATGTGCTGCGGCCTTAAAGGCAGCACACTGACAGAACACTACAGAGTGAACGTTGTCACCCCCTCACCCGCTGGGGAGGGTTCTTTGGCCCAGTTCCTCTGCCTGAGCAATACGCATGTATGTAATCCTTGTGACTCTGTTGGTATAAGTCATCCAGTGTGAAGCACTGCCTCTGGAAGGTCAGTAAGGAGGAAATAGAAGGAAAGTTCCGTGTGTAACTACGGTTCTATGAATCCTGGATGACAGAGTTCTTAGTCACTCGGAATCCCGTGAGCTCGCGAGAAGATTCGATAGGACTGATCTCAGGATGACACCGGTACTTATACGTGACGGGAGGTCAATCGGGGTCACAGGTGACTTTGTTGGTATAAAGACTCGACCTGCGCATGCGCGAGACAGAAGATGATCCAGTGTGAAGCACTGCCTCTGGCGGTCAGTGAGGATGAAATAGAACCGTAGTTACATTCGTAACTTAAAATGATCATCAAGCCTGCTGGTGTGATATAACCTTGGAAAATTATTATCAGTGGATTTAAAATAGTACATTTGGAAAAATGTGTATTAGAAGAATCCATGTACATATTTTAAAAGACTGTAATGGCTGTGATGTTTCTATTTTTTCGTTTTTAGGTCTGCAGGGATGAAACATTTATCAATAAACCCTTTGTGATGAACTTATCCCAAGATCTGTGAGATGTAATTTGACCGATGATCCAAAAGAGGGAAACTTGAGCTATTATTTGACTGCCTGAGTTCTGGAAAAGCACAACAACCGTTGTCTTTTTCAGAATAAAATCGAAAGGGAACTTTTTTTTGGAGTAATGATTTAGTTAAAATACGTTAGCATCTTAAACTGATAAAATAAAGACATACTACAAATTAATGAAATAATACATAGAAAAGAACAGTAGAGTTATAAAATCAACATACGTTTATGGTTTGTTATTGTCAATCATTATAACCTAATAATTAAATACATTTAAAGTATACAAATCTGTCAATGTTGGCAGAAACACATTTGATTTGACGTCTAAGACAGCAAACTCATCGTGGCTCCATTTATCTTCGCAATTTTTGTCGTTTGTGTCTGTAGAGACTCTTTTTGCCCATCAAAGTCAGGTCGCCTTGGTTGGTGTTTAGAGTTCGTTCTGACGCGTTTAAATACTCCTTGAGACATTTCCACTTGTCTTTAATTGTCCTTTATTTTGTTCATTAGTGACACCATCAAATTATCTTAATACATGCCTCTTCCACCCGCTCACCCTGTCACGCTCACTCTGTCACGTTCACTCTGTCACGTTCACTCTGTCACGCTCACGTTCTGCGCTCCACGGTCAAAAAACTGTTCATCTTCCCACAAACACCAACACCTGATTCTATTGACCTTGCAGCCTAATTGAAACACAACCTCCGACCATCTAAGGGTGAAGCTAACAACCAAATAATAACAAAAAAGGCTCTTACAGTGTCCTTCTATTTAGTTTTAAATTTGAAAAAAACAAACATCTATGAGCCAATCAGAGGCGTCGTTGCTGGTATGACGGTGCACTTTGGACAAGCTGTGCGATTCCGAGTCGACCGCTTAGCGAAGTTGATGGATACTACTTTGGTAGAACGTGTGTCTGATTTATCTTTTTAAAACAAATTCAGCCGTTGAGAATAACAATCAGAAATGTGATTTTTAGGCACTTTTCAAGTTCCTTCAGTGTTTATGAAGTGCTTTTCATAAAAGTCAGGAAAAAATCCCACTGGAGAGAATTAGGTTTTATAAATGAGCCCAAAGTCCAAACAACCCCTGTATGAGTCAGCGATATTGAGTTAGTGAAAAACGTCAGATAAACAGTTTGGTTTCTCCCCCTCCTAATCCTGTCACTAAGGTTACTCGTTTGTCAGTGTGAGTACTTTACTTGGCAACTTAGAAACCATTAACCAATCACACCTTACTCTTTTATTTCCTTTCATTCCCAACATGCATCTTGAGGCAGTAAAATCACTCAGGACGAGCCGTCTAAACTGCTGAGTCATGTAGACAGACTGACCTCACCCATCAGGTCTTTCCTCGTGTTCTCTCAGATAGCGTACCTGGAGAACCTGCTGAAGGTGTACAACGACGAGATCTACCGCCTGCAGCACGCCGAGCTGAATTTAGATGACTTGGGAGCGGAGGACTCTTTATACATCCAAGAACACAAGCTGAAACGCAAGGTCAGCCTGCAGCTGGATCAGGCTCAGGGCTCCACTGATTATAGACACAGACAAGTCACACCTCTTCTTCTGTCCTCCTCTTCCTCCAGATGATAAAGATTTACGAAAAGCTGTGTGAGCTAAAGAGCTGCAGCACCCTGACGGGCCGAGTCATTGAGCAGAGGATCCGCTACAATAGCACTCGTTACCCTGAGATCAACAAGAAGGTGAGCTGCTGGCTGCTTTAGGCAGTTTGGATGTCCCGGACGCTTGGGGAGGTGGGGCAGATTTAACAGGAGTCAACGGCTGTTATTTCTATGTATCAGAGGTGTGTGTGTGTGTGCGTGTGTGTGCGTGTGTGTGAGTGTGTGTGTGCACGCACTGTAAACCCGAATTAGTTGACTTTACTCGCGAATCGCGTGGAAACCCGTTGCCCTATCCCACTTTAGTTTTTACACAAGCTGAAACTAGAAATGTTGTGTTGTATTAACGTGGAACTGTAAGTTTTTATACAAGCTGAAACTAGAAATGTTGCGTTGTATTAACGTGGAACCTTAACTTTAGTATTTATATTTATTAGTAGTGTGTACTCAAAATCATTAGATACAACTAGCTATTATGACTTGTTATTGCTACTCATCATTTAACACAATTATTGTATTTTCCTCTAATTTAATTTGCTTTTGATCGTTTTTTTAATATGTTATTAAACATTGTTTCAATTAAATTGGATAAAAAAAACAGAAACACCTGTAAATGCTCCAATGCATTTTACTTTTAAGAAAAATGGCCAAACACAGCTAATCACAAAAAGGATCTGTTTCATCTGCCTCAATGAAGGGAGGCCAGAGCATGAACCAACAGACTATCATATCAGAACAATATCTAATTTAATCTACATAGACTGATGAAGAACTGAAACATGTATATAATATAACAATGTCCTATGTCTTTCCGCTACAACTCCGCTCAGTTTAACTTGTCACACAAGTAACAAAAAAACAAAAAACAAAATATGTGTATAGGTGTGTCAGTTTTGTTTGTGGGTGTTGTATGTGTCTGTGTGTGTGTCTGCGTTTTATGCGTCTGTTTGTCCACCTGTTTTACAGAAAATAAGAAGGTTTACCCCACAGGTAAGAAAAAAAAAACAGTCAACAGTTTCTTAAAGTAGACTTGACATCTCTTTACATTGCGAGCTGATTTTTCAAAGTCTGTAGCTTTGGCTTTAAGTCAGTGTGAAATAACAAGAGCAATACCTGTTGGATGAACTGAAATGTGAGCTTCATAGTCTTGGGGTAGTTAAGATGGAGTGCATACATGAGTCCAAACACAATGCACATTGCTTTTGGCAGATCTTGAATGTTGTCCATCACGACTTCTCCCTCAATGATGGTTTCCAACAAGGCTGGACTGAGATGCTGGGAGGATGTGAGCACAGCACCTTCACGCTCAATAAGAAGTATCCCAATGTCTGGGTCACAAAAAGAATCCTCATCGTCAGATTCCTAAATAAATAAAAACAGAAGAGCACACTCATTGCATTATACTTCTCATTTGAAAAAAAACTTTCATTAAAAATGATAAGAAAGCAAGAGCTTACTTACAAAGCCTCCTTTGAAGACGTCTGTGGGGTTGTCCCCAGGATGATAGGAAGCCCTCTGACATTCAGTTGGCTCGGTAGTCTTTTGGGAATTAAACACAGTACCACAAGTTACTTGCTCAAATGAAAAACAAATAATGATCTCTAAGAAAGCTTAAACAGGCCGAGCAATGTTTGGATAGAATTATGCAACTAATAGAGTAGCATTGTGATATGATGTTTATACCTAACCTAAGAAAAACAATGCCAAGTCCATAAGTCGATGCTCTCATAGAATTCCATCGTGAGGTTCTTGCCCACAATCCTGCTGCACTCCATGAAGACCTGAAAAATACAGAGAACAATAAAAATCTGAATTTAGATCAACTGAACTATACAAGGCAGCTAAGCCATCTGCGAAGTAGTGCTTCCTGAAAAACATCCATGAATGTCCTTTTTATACGATTTGAAATGTTGATGTTTAAATTAAAAACATCATGCCCCAAATTAAAAATACCAATGTTTCCTTTAAAGAGGACAAGAGAAATATACATCTAGACACATTATATAATAGAAAGATAATTATTTGTTATGTTCTCTTTCTTAAACATACTTGATCTTGAGTGAAAAGGGCAGGCCAGCGTCTCACCATCGTGCTTATGGCAGGTTCCGACTCCACTACCTCTTTTCTTCTCAGAACAAACGTCTGATCCATCTTCTGTTTCACAAGAGGTCCATTTGGTGTTCTCTTCTGCATTTCATCAACCAAGTCTTTACAGGCCTCCAGGGCTGCCTGATCAAATGCACACACATTGTGGGTGTAAGCAGGGAAATGGGACAATTCTACCATAGTTTCCGTGTTTTAACCGATAATGTTTTAAAAGGTAACCCCTTTTCTCACAGATAAAGAATCTGTAAAACAAGAAACTGTTTAGGTCAACATCTCAGCACAACAATGTCACTGTTAAATACAATAAGGTAATAAAACCGAAACAACACCTATGTTACAGAGAAAACCGGCATGAAAACAAGCGTGTGTGAGGCCGGTTACACACTGCCGGCGTAGCATTTCTGTTGCGTGTCAGTTGCGTGGATTTTTCTGTCTTTTCACACCAGAAACGTGTCTGACGCGGCGCTGCTGCTGCTAGCCTCGTCTGGACACATGCATGTCTCACATTGATTTACTGCACTCAAGCAGTATACTTCATGTTACACATAAATATATACTGATTTGATTACAGCAAAGACAACGTCGGCAGTATTGACGGTAAATACACTACAGTATATTGCATTCTGTACAGGTGCAATATTTGAAAATCGATCATCTTTTTTTTTAAAATTACATTTGTATACCTGCATTTATGTCATAAATTCGAGACTTTCGAACATCAACATGCCATTTTTAAATTTTATTCATGTCAAAATGAAATATACTAATATATCTTTTCATATAAAATTTTGCCTGGAAACGCTTCCAATGCTTGCGTGTGGCGTGAAATAGCAGTCGGTCCTGTTTCTAGCAGGCGTGTGTAAGCTCGAACCGTTTAACTATAAACAGACACGCCACGCAGCCATTGTGTAGAGAGTGAGAGGGAAAAGAGAGCGACCAGTGAATCAATGGCTGCAAGTAGCTCGGGTGTAGCTAAACACCTCCACAGCGGATGTAATTTGCCCCGACAGCGGTTGAATCGTTTTTCTATTGCGTAAAATGACGGTTGAATAAGTGATACAGTCGAACAAACTAACGGTATGCGAGCCGTCCTCAGACTGTTAACACTAAGTTAACTTTAAGTTCAGCTAACACTTTTTGAGTAGCTAGCTAGCTAGTTTTAGCAATAAGCATGTATTAACACCATGCACAGGTTCAAACATTAACATTAGACGGAAATAAAAGCTGCGTCAAATTATCTGCAAGCTTTTGGGTATTAAACATTCCCACAAAGATAACTAGGCTACAATAGTTATTTTACATACTAACCATTCCACTTCGAGGTGGTAAGGTTGCTTTCTTTGATTCCGTCTGCTGCCGATGCCTGTGCTCGTCCCGCCAGGTGAAGAGCCCCTTGGACGCACGTTGGTCTGGTCACGTGACCAGGCAGCTTTTTAATTAGCCCCTCCCCTTTCTTCCAAAAGTAAACATACCGAGTTATCTGTGCTAAAAATTATTAGTGCAATGAATTTTTCAGCTAATTAGTACAAACAACTAATGTTGTTTAGTAATGATAGCAGGTTTTTACTAAACATAAAAGAATAAGTAATGATCACTCGTAAGTTTAATTAGAAACAAAATCCGGGCTTACAGTTCGGTGGGGAGCACAAGTATTTGATACGCTGCCGATTTTGCAGTTTTTCCCACTTACACAGCATGTAGGAGTCTGTAATTTGTATCATAAGTACTCTTTAACTGTGAGTGACAGAATCTAAAACAAAAATCCAGAAAATGACATTGTATAATTTAAAAAAGATATCTTGCGGTTTATTGCATGATCAAGTATTTGATCACCTACCAACCAGTAAGAATTCCGACTCTCACAGACCTGTTAGTTTGTCTTTAGGAAGCTCTCCTGTTCTCCACTCATTACCTGTATCAACTGCACCTGTTTGAACTTGTTACCTGCCCACTGCGCAATGTGACGTCAGTGTGACGTCTTTTCTAGGTCATTTTGGACGTCCAATTTTGGTCCACTGAAGGGGTTGTTTTGTAACGCCAGGTGACGTCTTTTTTTGACGTCTACTGCACGTCTAATGTTCACGTCCGTGGGACCTCCATATAAGGGCTATTTATAGTACAACGTCAAATTTAGACTAATTTTAGACGTTTTATACTACTTCTATAACTAAGAGGTAGGGGACATGTTTTCTGTACCAGTTAATTTCCTTTTGTTTAGCTAACGCAAAATAAAAATGTGTGTCGTTAAGGCATGCTTGGTCATTCGCAACGATGTAGAGCATGGACATAGAATTCACTGGGCTTATCGAACTTACCTTCAATTTAGAGGAAATCGAACACGCTGAATCGTGTCAAATGTCTGGCGTGTTGCCTTGACCGAGTGGCATCATTACATGGTGTTGCTTCAGCCAATCAGAGTGACGTTAACTGGTTTTTAAATTACATTACAGGTCATTTAGCAGATGCTTTTATCCAGAGCGACTTACATTACACTGTAAACTCATGGCTTTTTCACATTTTTGCCTGGGGAGCAATTAGGGGTCAGGTGTCTTGCTCACGGACACTTCGACATGGAACATGGGGCAGCCTGGACTCAAACCACCAACCTTGTGCTTCCCTGCACACCTTCTCTAACCCCTGCGCCAAGACAACCCAGCCCGTCCTTGGGTGTGACTTTTCTGTTGTTGTTAGTTATTTTGAGATCAGTGGCCATCGCCCCCCCTCTTGGCTACTTCAAATGTATTTATTAATTTAATAAAATTGAAAAAAAAATATTATTAGTATTGTTCAGTAGGTTTTTTTCACCAAAACAGGAAAATTACCCACTGAATAAATAAACAGGCATGCACATATTAAATCATGTTTATGAATAATGTAGGCTATTCATATCATGAAACATGTTGATATTTGTAAATAAACAGCCTGTCGTTGACGTCCAGATGACGTCCACAAAACTTACCCGCTTCGAAGGTCAAATTCTGAACGTAAATATGTTGTCCAAGTTGGGTCATGGTTGGACGTCCAAATAGTGGACCTAGTATGGACGTCGAATAGATGTCCAGAATTGGTCATGGACCGACAGACCCAATATAGACATGATCTGCACGTCTATCCGACGAACAATGTTTAGTGGGTGTATAAAAGACACCTGTCCACACGCCATCAAACAGACGGCAACCTCTCCACAATGGCCCAGACCAGAGAGCTGTAGCTGTGTATCCTTGCATCCTTGTAGCCTGCAGCCTTCAGCAGCCTTGGCGGTGGACCTGGCTGGTCCCTCCATCAACCGTACAGGCTGAACCGAGCGCTCTCTGAAATGGGACGGTCTGGCCTACGGGAGAGAGAGAGCATCCTGCCTGTGTCGTCACCTCCACTGCTCCCGTTACCTAGCAACCTGCTGCGCTTGACAGTAAAAGTCAACTCTATTAACTTGTATGCATGGACTTCTTATTTTTCTATTGCATAGGATACAAGCTCTGTTAACTGTAACTTAAGATCTTACAGAATATGTCCGAGCTACAGTAGCTGAACGTCACCACACATCGTTCTCCTTCAGCTTGATGCTTCCTCCTGTTCCATCAAACAACTAAATGTAAAGTTAGTTTATAATCACACCACAAAACAAAAGGAGCAAAGCAAGGTCAGTTTCTGTGTGTATGTATTCTGTAACGTATCCTCATATTTCAGGTTTGTAACTTGTCTACTTGAGCTCACTTTGATCCATTTCTGTTCACAATTGTTGAGTTGCGTTACTCGCATTCTTGCAGCTAACGTTGCATTCGGAGGAAAAGAGCGGGCGATTCAGATGAGCCATCTTTAGCCGTCTTCGGCATATTTATTTCACGAGCTGCCGCTGACACATCAGTCTCAGGGTCAGACGGCCTTCATCACTTCTTCATATAAAACGGCAAAACATTTTGGGACAAACAAAACAGCAATGCGAACGAATGCACAACACAGATCAGCACTGTACTACACCATCACCACAACTGAGGACATAATGAACATATCCCAACACCAATATGAAGTAGAAACTATATATGAAACCGCCACAGCCTCAATAAGATATTAGTCAGCCTCTAAAGCAGAGGTCACTGACTGGAGGACCGCGGTCCGGGTCCAGACCCAGAAGCCGTCCCATCCGGACCAAAAGCTAAAAACAGACGGTTGTGATTTAAACGTGACAGCTTTAGTCGTCTTTACGGTAGTCTTTGCATTCCAGGCAGGATGATATTGTCTCAATACTGCGGACAGAGGAGGAGGCGGCAAATTAAAAATAAAAAGACGGTAGGAAGAAAAGAAACAGCAAAATTTGAGAAAAAGACGAGTGAGAAAAACAAATGGCCAGTGAAAGTGGAGCATTTAATCCTCAATGGACAGACTGCTTTCTGTTCATACTTCCCACTGCAGCACTAAACCAGTGTCTCATGTGC